ATATATATATATATATATATATATATATAACATATACATATATATATACTTCGTTCATAGCAACGCACGCGACTGAGGTTTATCGTAAGCTAACTGCTTCTCGCTTCTCTTAGAATGACAGCAGAAACGGGAAGCAGGGAACGGATCGTTCTCCGCTCCCATGCTTTACTCAACTCAACATGTTAAAGCGACAAGATTTAGGTGCTCTCAGGCACTCTCAGTTTGGCCCAGAACCACCACGCCCCCACCGATGATTGACAGGGTATAATTGGCAGCGCTTTGCCGGGATACACACACTAGCTCATTTATAGTTTGTGCTTTTTGCACCCATATCGGAACTCACACGTACTCACAACACCTAGCTGTTAATGTCAGACGAAGAATGCCCGAGAACACTTAAATTACAGGTCATGTCTCCTTAATAGACTTCACTAATTAGTAAATATATTCCAGCGGAAGTTCTTAGTAATAATCGTAGTGAATTAAACGCTGAAAATTTTTCATTGATTCATTGATTCTTTTTTTCTTGACTCGGGTTTCGACTCGACAGACTGCGGATGTAAACCTACTAGCCACAGGGCATCAAACTTAAGCGTCTCCTTGTAGTATTTGACGATCTCGTCCTGCCACCACTGCTGCGTGCTCGCTTTGAAGAAGTCTGGGAAGACAACTTTTCCTCGCGGCCAGACCTGCAAGCGAAAACAGTAAACAGGGGATATGATGTGAGATGCTTGGTGTACCTAGAACACTGAGCGTTATTATATAATATTATAACATATATAAACATAAATTATATAACACGTAATTATATTATTATATACAGCTAGAACACTAAGCTGTATATTATAAAACATATAAAAACAAAAAATAGATAATATAAAAACATGTTATTATATACAGCTAGAACACTGAGCTGTATTTTATAACATATAGAAACAAAATCTATATTATATATATATAGAACCCAAACAAAAACTATTCTATCCGTCACTCACTAAAACGCCGCCATATATCAATGAATGTCGAAATTTACCCCCACGTGTCTTACCATGCATGAACACACACATACATATGCAATTTTTGTATAATGTGAAACTGTGCATTATGTAGGCTACATATGCAATTTTCAAGCCAATTCTTCTCAATCGATAAGCTATATAATTATGTGGACATACGGGTTTGTCAAGGTTAAGTTCGATGTCTTACGTAGCCTAGCATATAGTCGTTGCCGGTTTCCTCCTCGTCGGGGCTGGTGCCTGTCGGCCACTTGATCCACACGTCCTGCTCCGTGCCTCGCTGGTAGGGCTCATAGCCTGACACGTTAGTTATCAAAGCAGGATCCTGCAGAGGTAAACCACGCGAGCTATAGCTATGAACAACAACAACAACATCTACAACAACAGCAGCAGCAGTAACAACAACAACGACGGCAACAATAACAACATCAACAACAACAGCAGCAGCAGTAACAACAACAACGACGGCAACAATAACAACATCAACAACAACAGACACAACAACAGCAGCAACAAGAACAATAACAACAGCATCAACAGCGACATTATCATCAACAACAACTGCGACAACTAAAGCTACAACAATAACAACAGCATCACCAACAACAGCAGCAGCAGTAACAACAACAACGACGGCAACAATAACAACATCAACAACAACAGCAGCAGCAGCAGTAACAACAACAACGACGGCAACAATAACAACATCAACAACAACAGACACAACAACAGCAGCAACAAGAACAATAACAACAGCATCAACAGCGACATTATCATCAACAACAACTGCGACAACTAAAGCTACAACAATAACAACAGCATCACCAACAACAGCAGCAGCAGTAACAACAACAACGACGGCAACAATAACAACATCAACAACAACAGCAGCAGCAGTAACAACAACAACGACGGCAACAACAACAACATCAACAACAACAGCAGCAGCAGCAGTAACAACAACAACGACGGCAACAATAACAACATCAACAACAACAGACACAACAACAGCAGCAACAAGAACAATAACAACAGCATCAACAGCGACATTATCATCAACAACAACTGCGACAACTAAAGCTACAACAACAACAACAGTATCATCAGCAGCAGTAACAACAACAACAACAACAACGACGACGACAACAACAACAACAACAACATCAATAACAACAACAGCAGCAGCAGCAGCAACATCAATAATAACACCACAGGAAATCGTCTAACCACTCACCACCCGGCCGAGTAGGCACCCCCTTATCGCGTGGCACACCTCACCTCTATCATCCACGACTACCTATATACACCCTTAATCTAAGCACCTAGCAGTAACATGCACGCTGCAGGCCGTGACCACGCGCTCAGACGGACAGGTAATTATGTGATCAATTATTATATAATTATGGTACAGTAGCTAAGAGCCATAAATCATGTGAATTGTGAACTTTTTGACAAACGCATGGAAATTGGCACACGNGAGAGAGAGAGAGAGCTGATTGGGGGAAGGGTTCTTTACCTTTCCTTCTACTCTTCTGCATGTAACGGAAGGTTGTGAACGTGACTGCTGCTGCTTCTCGTTGTGTGGTCTATCTCGCGTCACACCTGCTCGTGGTGACATTACACCTGCTCGTGGTGACATCACACCTGCTCGTGGTGACATCACGCCTGCTATTGGTGACATCTATACTACCTAGCTGTGCTGACGTCTAGCAATGAACGTGGCCACACGTTTCCTACCTGGATGGCTAGCATGTTTTATAAACCCTACAAGCCTTATTGCTAACTTCAATCACAGAGAGAGGGAGCGCGAGAGGGAGGAGAGTTGTGTAGCCAGCAAGTGTGAAAATTAGAGTGACGGTTCACTAGGGGTGAGACGATACCGGTAGCTTACAATGCGCTCCATATCACGATACAGCCTTCACAATACGATACCTATTACAATACAGCTTTCACAATACGATACCTATTACAATACAGCCATCACAATACGATACCTATTACAATACAGCCTTCACAATACGATACCTATTACAATACAGCTTTCACAATACGATACCTATTACAATACAGCCATCACAATACGATACCTATTACAATACAGCCTTCACAATACGATACCTATTACAATACAGCCTTCACAATACGATACCTATTACAATACAGCCTTCACAATACGATACCTATTACAATACAGCCTTCACAATACGATATGTATCACAATACAGCCTTCACAATACGATACCTATTACAATACAGCCTTCAAAATACGATATATGTATCACAATACTTTCAAGAGAAATTACCCAGCAAACTATGCACTCAGCCGGGGCTTTCGCAATCTTGCAACCTTTCACAAATCAGTATTGTAAATCGTGTCGTGTTTCATTTTTTTTTTTTATGAAACTATGCTACTAAATGACATGGATTTCAGTCAATAGAGTATCGATACTTGTATCGTGAATGGTCAAACATATCGATACATGTGATGTATTGTCAAGGTTTGTATCATGATACGTTGATGAATCGTCCCACCCCTAGTGTTCGCTCCACCTACCCTCTATCTACCCCTCCAGCTATGTGTAGTGCTGTGCATGTTATGTCACTCTACTGTCATGCTGCTGCCACTGATGGTGTTAGCAGTATGTACTGATCGTGTGATGTCATCGTATGTGATGTCATCATATGTGATGTCATCGTATGTGATGTCATCATATGTGATGTCATCATATGTGATGTCATCATATGTGATGTCATCGTATGTCATGTCATCATATGTGATGTCATCATATGTGATGTCATCATATGTGATGTCATCGTGTCATCATATGTGATGTCATCATATGTGATGTCATCGTATGTGATGTCATATGTGATGTCATCGTATGTGATGTCATCGTATGTCATATCATCATATGTGATGTCATCGTATGTCATGTCATCATATGTGATGTCATATATGATGTCATCGTCTGTGATGTCATATATGATGTCATCATGCATGATGTCATCGTATGTGATGTCATTGTGTATGACAGGTCTCTGGTTTCTGCATGGTGTGCGTGGTGACACTGTGTCTTGCATGACACTATAGATGAGCGGTATCTGATGGTCTCTACACCCAGATTCAGTCGTCATCGTGAAATGTTAATAGTTATAAACAACGTCGCCCGATGTTAAACAAGAATCCGATCGTATTACCGACAATGCACTGCAGCTAGCTCTGCCCTGAAAGTATACGTATACTACAGCTGCTCTAGTGCTAGATACAGAGTGAGATCACTAATATTGGTGTAGTTATGTGGTTAACGCATCTGTAATTCAGTGCCACAGTTGTAAGTTAAGATTATGCTCTGACTTACCTCGCATTTATTAATATGTCTTCTTCGGGTGATACTAACTGTTCTAACGACGTGGAATAATGAAATGTTAACGACGTGTCTCTCGTTCCGTGTTGTACTGTACACATGTCGGGTGGTGAATGTGTTGGTGTGATAACGTGTGAGGTAAGGTGTGTGAGATGAGGTGTGTGTGGTGAGAGCATGTGAGGTGAGAGCATGTGAGGTGAGAGCATGTGAGATGAGGTGTGAGGTGAGAGCATGTGAGGTGAGAGCATGTGAGGTGAGAGCATGTGAGGTGAGGTGGGAGATGAGGTGCGTGAGGTGAGAGCATGTGAGGTGAGGTGTGTGAGGTGAGAGCATGTGAGATGAGGTGTGAGATGAGGTGTGAGGTGAGA